ATATTGAACAAGTATAAGGTCTAGATGGCTGGATATTGGCTTAGTTCTTTTTTATATTTTTATGGACCAAGGGGAGGCAAGGTCCATAAAAATGGAATGTGGCTAGTATCCAGCTGTCTTGACCGAACAAGCTTGGTCAAGGACTCATAGCAAGAAGATCATCGTTTTATTGAGAATCAAAACTTGTTTATTTGGAGAGATGGGTAGGAAAGCCTATACTAGCACAATAACACCGCAAGAATCAGTTATGTTTTCTATGTTTTGACTGTCTTTTAACACTTTTTGTGACTCCACTCACCAACATTGTCCAAAAATTATGAACTTTGTATGTCTGCTCCAAGTAATTTTTTCCTGTGTGGGATCAAAGGTGGCAATCACAAGTGGGCAAGATGGGCCCATCAGAACACAGGATTTGCTTCATATTGCACATGGCACTGCCAGCGATATAATAATAACAATTCTTGCCAACTAATTTGCTTGAGATGTTCCATTTTCTCTAAAGAGCGAGCCTGGTTTATGATTGACATACGAGCCCATCACTACAGTTTTGCTTGATACATTTGTTTATGCCAGAACCATTCAGTTATTGTTTTTCTTTTCCAGGGAGCAGTTATGTCTGCCTTCTTTTGGGGATACATGCCTGCACAGGTCATTGGTGGATATTTAAGTGATAAATATGGTGGAGAAGTGATATTAGGACTTGCCGCAATTGTCTGGTCTTTATTAACACTGGCTGTTCCTTTTATGACTGTGTCAACAATACTTTTCTTCTCTCCCACCATGATCATATTTGCTGCAAGAATGTGTACTGGTTTGTCACAAGGTTTGTGCTGAAATGATATTTAATCGAACACAACAAATATATGAAATTCATATGTCTGAACTGCAGTTATAGAAACATATTTGTGCACAATCCTTGCAGTAAAGAGCACTATTTAGGCAATAGTGAAAATCAGACCTGAAAAAATTCAGGCCTGATATATGAATTTCATATATTCATTGTGTTTGATCTATCATCTGACGGGTTTATGTCCGACTTATTTGATGACCTGCTCCCAGTTGGCTTGTTAGCTCAATTGGTAGAGCGCTGCACTAGTATCACAGAGGTCAGTGGTTCAAATCCCGTACAGGCCTGAATTTTTTCAGGTCTGATTTTTGCTATTGCTTAAATAGTGCTCTTTACTGTGAGGATCATGCACAAATACTTTATATCTAATGTTGGATCTCAGTAATCGTGTATTAGACTTAGTATAACAGCTCAGGGCTACGATTGGTTCAGGATTGGGCATACATAAATCTCGCTTTAATCATCTCACATGAGGTGATCCTAGCAGGAGTGCTAAATTTCAGAGTGGTTACCTTGCCTTTTGTCAATGTTTCCAAGGAAGTGATAGATGCAATAGAAGAAAACGCAATTGTGAAGAGCACAGTAGATGTCAGAAGAGTAGCGGAACACTTTTCAAGAGAAGGATATGAAGTTTTTCCTGACTGAATTCAATAAGGTGTATTTAAAAAAATTGGACTTTTTCTTTAATGGACCATAACAAGTTTCTTGTCAACTGGATTTTTTGATAAAGAAACTTGTTCCTTCAAGATAGTAAGTACATGTACTTCCCAGTTTATAATGAAGGTTTGTTATCTACCTTGACTTGAGCTTGTAGGTCATTTGGAGAATACTAAGATATCTCAATGACCTTTGAGGTACCTTAGATATTTGAAAAGCAAGTGTATTGAACCACATCTGTATTAAACTCAGCACAGAAGTGGCAGGTGTTATGCAAATCTTGAAATTGTTTTGACTGAAATTATTTATTTACATGAATATGACATTATTTGACTCTTGCCATTCTTTTCCTTTCAGGTTTGCATTATCCCTCGCTAACAAATATAATTGCTAAGAGAATCCCAGTAAAGGATAGAACATTTCTAACAAGCACAATATTTGCTGGTGGCCCCGTAGGGTAAGTGAAGAGAGATAAATTTTTTAGAAAGAAAATCAATTTTTAGGCAGAAAAATATTTTCAAAGGAGTTTGACTTGCACATACATAATCATGATTGCTGTCAGTGATGATTTCATTTAGTGTCCTTTTTATGATAATCACCTCCTCTGTTATAAGCACCCCCTTTAAATGTGCTTTAATTTACTAATAGGGGCCCCTACTCAATGATTGCTTAGCTGGTTGTTCTAGCCAGGAAGGATCCAGGAACAGCAAGTCAGTTTTCCACTCTCCTTGATCCTTTTCAAATAAACATGACAAATTTGCTTTGCTCATTCTGCTGTTGCCCCAAAATAATATGCATAATGATGGTTTTTCTTGCTTCGTGTTTATACGATTATTTTTTTTCCCATAGCACATTGTTCATGGGCAGTGTTGGCTCTTTATTTCTTGCTCACATGGGTTGGCATAGCGTGTTTATTGTCCATGGTCTAATGGCATTATTATGGGCCTGTCTTTGGAGATTTTATTTAGTATTACCAGAATTTGAACTTGGAAACATTAAAATGGTTGAACCAAGCAGTTCTGAACGGGCGCATTTACTCAATGTTCCCTGGGGGACATTTACAAGACATCCAGCCGTCTGGTATGTATGCTGTTATTATCATTAGTGTTATCATTATCATAATTGTTGTTGTCATCATTGTTATTTGACTATGAAGTCTATTTTTCCATGAAAAAGAAGCTTTAGAAGGGCTGTTGTCAGTTGCAGTGGTAAATGTTTCAACCAATTTGATGAAAGTCATCATTCAGTTGTTGATCAGACTGCATGATTTTAAAAGTGTTTGTACTGAGCTCAAACTATTTTTTTTTCCCTCACTGTTATTTTGGCTGATGTCATTGCTTTTGTTGTGGTTGTCCTTGTTATCCCATTTTACTGTCAGTATAAAAATTCCTTGCTACTTTTAGTTGTTTACAAACATTTTTTCTGTTTATTATTCTTTCTTTTATATAGCAATTGGAACACTTTAATTACTCTCTGATATAACAAATGTCAGGTTGCAAATTCCTTCTGACCTGTTCACCTTTTGCCTTCTTTTCTATTCAGGGCTCTGGTTGTTTCACATTTCTGTCAAGGATGTGCATTCTGGAATGTGTTTGCATGGCTTCCCATGTTTTTTGAAGAACATTTTCCAGGAAATGAGGTATCTTCACTTAATTCCCCCTTCTTCCCCCCCAAAAAAAAGTCCCTCCCTCTCAAATAAAGCAGCTGACTTTGAGAAAAAAAACTGTCATTTGTAATTTATTTAACTTTATTAACTACACTATATCTTGTATATTACAACCATCTTGTTCTACATATACAGTGCGTAACTTTGATGAGAAGTAATGCATGTGAAAAAATTAATGAGGACATGGCAAAGCAAAAGGTCTAAAGCACAGAACAATAGCCTAGTGTGTGCATTTTAAAACTTTGTACATTTCTCAGCTGTCTTCTGCAAATCACCAAAATTTGTATGGTCTAAGAACAGAATCCCATGGGAAAATTATTTAAGTTTTCATTTGGAATTCGTTGTTGGTCATGTTTGGTGTGCTGAATTTGAGGTGTGCCACTAAAAGAGGTGATAAACACATCCAGCCATTTTTGAAAATTTTAACTAAAATTTAAAATCCATTTTTTAATTGCTCTCTTCAGACTGCTTGAGATCCTCTGTCAATTTAGACAGATGGTTGAACTGGGCGCATTAGTTCCCCTGAAGGAACTTCATATACAATCAAAAACTGTAAGTCTGTTGCTGTTCTTCCCTGTAGAAATGGATATTTAATGTCCTTCCATGGTTGCTGTACTTCCCAGTGGCACTGTTTGTAGGACGCTTAGCAGACAGCATGATTAGAAAAGGTTTGTAATATATTCCCTCATCGCATTGTTTTGAAACTTTGGGCTGATGCTATATTGTACTTGGTGGATACATTTTGTGTGTTGTTCTGTTTAATAATTCCACAAAATCTAAAACATAATTACTAGGAAATTTTGATATATACTTTTGATAGCAAAGACAAGAATTATGTTTTTTGCAGAATATTTCTTGTTTTAAAACCTTTCACTTCTTGCCGTGATCATTGAATAATTTCAAAACTTTCCTGCCCATTCCTTTTGACCACTCAGAATTTTAATTGGGTATACAGATTTTGATACATGCTCCTAAGTCAACCCTCAAATTTGGCTTCTACTTCTCTTACAAAGTTTCACCAGCCAACTTCCTACTAAGGAAAACCCTCCAAGGACCTCTTATTCTTCACTTGCACTTTTATCAGCTGATGATGGCTGAAATGATAGATATTGAAAACATTGAACTGGAAGATTATACAAAATACCTGGGGGTCTATATCGATAAGCACCTAAATTGGCAGCCACAGATACAACATATAAACGAAAAAATAGCAAAAAATGCTAGAATTCTCATTAAATTAAGATATCACATAGATTTTAATATGCCAAGACAAATATACTATGCTTTGATATATCCCTATTTAAGCTATGGTGTCATTGCCTGGGGCTGTACCACCAACACTAAACTAAAATGTCTTTGTATTAAGCAGAATAAATGTCTCCGTAGCATCTTCTTTGCACATCATAGGTAGATTGCTAGTCCCTATTATAAACTGTTAGGAATTTTAAAATTGGATGGTACATAAAAATTCAGAGTATGCTGCCTTGCACATAAGATTAAGAATAGAACTGATAGCATTCCAGATGCCTTCCTTGATGTCCTGACCCCAGCATGCAAAAAACATTTATTATAATACAAGATTTGCTAGTAATTTCAATTGTTTTAGACCAGGAGTATCCACTAACATGGGAGAATCATCATTCAAATTCTCTGGTTCAAAGATCTGGGAAACCCTATCCACCAATCTTAAATATATGCCCTACAGTACCTTTAAGAAAGAATGGAAACATCAACTTTTGCAATCAAACTTGATTATTTTGCTTTACTTTAGTTTACTGCTGATTTATTTTTAGAAGTATAGGCTGCTATTTATTTGATCATTACAGTGTCCAATTAGAAGGCTGTTGCTACCTTGGACACCGTGCACATCTCAACCTTATTTTTGTGGCCAAACAATACCATTTTTTTCTGTTTCTCTTATGAGTGAAATAAAGAAAATTACATATTGAAACATTCCATTGTGTGCAAGAAAATCAGCTAGTATGTAGAGTAGCAAGGTTCTTGCAGTCTTTTATTGAAAAATACAGCAGAAGCATCACAGTTAATTCAAACCACTTATATTCTAACTGTTCGGGTAGTCGATAGTCTTCCTTGCAGCCCTTTCCGGCGTCGTCACATAAGCAAAAACTCCCCCACCAATGGCTGCTCACATTTGAACAACATTCCTTTCCGGAAATTGGCCAATCAGCATTTACTTACCATAGTCTGGAAAGCGTTCGCGCCTCAATAATCAAACCAATCACAGAGTTCGTATTATCCGAGCGTTGAAACTGACAAAATGAAGACGCTTTCGACTTAGTGCGAGATACTTTTTGGGAAAAAGATGCTCAAACCCAGTCTCCGGTGAAAAAAAAAGAGCCCGAGGACTTTCGCTCTCCAAAGTTCAAGCACCGCAGCGAAATCATATAACTTAAGAGACTGACCGTTTGCAGTTTTCATGGGGGTGGGGGAGGGGGGTCGAAGGATTTTGGTCGTGTCGCGATAAAATTTAGTCTCCCTTGCAGCCCTTTCCGGCGTCGTCACGCAAGCGAAAACTCCCGCACCAACGGCTGCTCACATTCGGACAACATTCCTTTCCGGAAATTGGCCAATCAGCATTTACTTACCATATGCTGGAAAGCGTTCGCGCCTCAATAATCAAACCAATCACAGAGTTCGTATTATCCGAGCGTTGAAACTGACTAAATGAAGACGCTTTCGACTTAGTGCGAGATACTTTTGGTATTGAGAGCTTGACGCATCAGAGAGAAGCCATAACAGTAATTATAAAAGAGAGAAGAGATGTTTTTATAAATTTTCCCACAGGATTTGGGCAAACAAAACAGCGATCATTATCTGATATTTTCTTCGGAGTTTCAATGACATCAGATTCCATCTTTAGAAACTAAGGCTAATGCACTTCCTGTGAATTCGCGGGAATAGATATATCGCGTGTTCATTGGTTGTTTGTCAGACAATAACTTTATTTTGATTGGATAACACATTAAAATGGGAAAGGAATGTTGTTCGAATGTGAGCAGCTGTTGGTGGGGGAGTTTTCTCTTTTGTGACGACGCCGGAAAAGGGCTGCAAGGGAGACTAGGTAGTCGAAAGCTCGTAGTTTTTAATCATTTTAGCCAGAGATCGTTTTTAAATTTCAACTATGATCCTGTTATGTTACTTTTGCAGGATCATCAGTTACTTTTGTCAGGAAATTCTTTCAGGTAATTTTTCAGTGTTCTAAATATAAACTAATCACAGTGAAGGAGTAGATTTTTCCAGGCTCTACAACATAATAGTGCCACATGGGATGTTGGGAGAACACAACGAAAACTGTTCTCCCCTACATCCCAAGTGGCTTTATCTCATTATAGAGCCAGAAAAAAAATGCATCCTATTGCTTTTATGACATAAATATAACAAATTTGGGCTCTATAACCTGATAAAGCATCTGCTTGAAAACTGATTTGACCAATCAGATGATGCATACTGTGCCGTGTTCATTGATGTTATAAAAAATGTCATTTATTTGCACTGATTCCTTCTGTGCTTTGCCTAACCTGAATTTTTTGTTTGTACTAATTACTATTATTATAATCATCATTATCGTTAAAAAAAATCCAAACCTTAAAAATTGTTCAGAAGCTTTCAATAGACTGTGATCGCATTACTGGACCCATGTGCGCATCACTGGACCTATATGTATAGCAAGCTCCTAGAAGAAAAAAACTCTTTGAACGCACCTGTTAAAGCATCAAATTTTGTAATCAATACAGTTCCTTCTTTATTTATTTTGCCTGAACTGCAACTTTAATTTTTTTTTAATAGACTCTATCAATGTGTGGCGGGGCATTTTTCATGGTTCTCATCACAAGGTCATCCAGCTTTAGTCTGGCTGTTGTTTGTATGATGATGGCCATGAGTATGAATGCATTGGGTAATGCGGGTTCTCCCGTCACTCCACAAGACATGTCTCCCAAGTTTGCTGGGACGCTCTTTGGTAAGAGGCTTGTGTCTGTCACCTCGGTAGTGTGCTGGGAAAATTTTCCAGTTTAATTTAAATTTCCTGAACATTTTTTATTTAAATGTGGAACTAATGTAATGTGTGTTTTCTGCTTTATGATTTATACTGATTGTGTACTACTACTTTAAAAAATAGTTTATGTTCTTGGGCCAAACTCAGAGCTTCGAGAAGCCCCAAAACTTATTAATGCCCTAGAACTTAAACTTGAATGCGATTGTTAACACTTGGACAGTATTTAGAGAGTAAGAATGAAAAAAAAAAATTCCATTTTAATTAAATGATGTTAAATTTTGCAAAGTTAAACTTGAAAATTGTGTCAGGGAAAGGAAAATGGAAATGACATGTGTCCTCTTAAGGGGAAAACATACTGATTTCTAGTACTGGGGTTGGAGTAATTGCAATGAGTTCCAAAGCTCTGCACCCAAAAAATTATTATTTGAATTCTTTAAATCTTATCGCTCAGACTCATATTCCATGCAGTGATATGTTGCATTTTTTCCTTTTAGGAATAATGAACTCAGCAGGTGCATTTTCAGGTGGGTTTAATGTACAGAAATTTCATAAGTAAGCTCTCTTGATTTGATCCCAAGCACATAACACCAATAACACAAGAAGGTTATGGGCTTGAATCCTGCTACAACCTTGACCAGACTCTATTTTCAGATTTAAAGGGTGTCTGTGTTTTTCATGAACTTTCCTCTATGCAAAACCTTTTTTTGACATGATCTTTGCATCACTTTTTTTTCACACTGGATCACTGTCACCATATGGTATTATATCACACATTCAAACCTTAAACTGTCTGAATTAAATATTGTCATCAATTCAGTTCTGCCTTACATGTGATGTCAGGCTGAAACCTTCTTGTGATTTTGTTTAATGTCGCAAGCTCTTTAGTCAGAGTATCATGTTCCATTTGGACTTTAACTCTTTGATCTCCAAGAGTGACCAGTTTCTAAGTTCTCCATACGTTATCACCCTTGAATTTACTTAAGGAACACAAGAGTGAAGGAAATAATCACCGGATAAAGAAGCTCTCGATTATGAAACAAAATTAATTCTCTCTTTCAGCACCTTAAGAAATGACTAGAAATAGGTATGGAGAATATGCATACTGTTAGAGTACAGAGGGTTAAACAAAAGCACAAAGAATTATGATTTGGTAATTTTATGTGCTTTGGTCTCTGCTCTCGATAATCTTTCTTTCATTGTTAATTTTTGTGCTATTTTTCACAGGAATTGTTGGCCCCCTTCTCACAGGTTACCTTTTAGAAATTGGTTACAGATGGAACTTTATATTTATGTTAAACGCTCTAGTACTCATCTTGGGTGCTTCCGTGTTTCTCATGAGAGGGACTGCAAAGAAAATTGTGTAGAACAACTGAAATTGTTTAAACAATATTCTTCACATAAGCCAAACCCAAAGAGATATTTTCTATGGCAATGAAGCAGAGCCATTAACAAGATGACACAGCCATTAACAGGATGAGCGGAAGAGAAGAGAGCAGTGTTTGAGCAGATGTTTTTTAATTACAAATGTGCCACCTTTCTCTCTTCACAGTTATTAGGGACCTTAAGAAACCACGTCGGCGACGGTAACGAGGACGTGGAAAAACAAGAGATCTAATTGGCAGAACAATAGCTCAGCACGTGCGTTTTGAAACTTTGTACATTTCTTAGCCGTCCTATGCAAAACAACAACGTGAAATCGCCAAAATTTGCTTCGCCTGCGAACCGAAAACGCGACGGCAAATTATTTTAATTTCCATTTGTAACTCAACGGCTACTTTATACGTCATGCTGAAGTTGAGCTGTGACGCTGTATGAGACAGTAAGCTCCTGCAGCCATTTTTGAAATTCTAACTAAGAGAAGAAATTCATTTTTTAATCGAAGTCTTCCTTGGCGTCGCCGTCGTGGTTTCTTAAGGTCCCTAATACCGCCTTGAGGACAGTTTGGGGTACTTTGCGTGTGGGAGATTAGAACGAAATTAAAATCTTAGAAATTTGGGCTTGTCCCTGTAAAGGGCTATTATTCTATACCTGCAGCGCACTGGAAATTTGTAGACTCGCTTTTTTCTCTCTCTCTCTCTCTCTTTAGCTGTTTTCATTTAGCTGACGAAGAAATTGCTTATTGTTTTCTTCTCCTCTGCGAGTCCACCATCCCCAAACATTGTGGTTTTTTTTTTCCTCGAACCATAATCCGGGAAGCTGGGGTTTTCTTTTGGTAAGCGTATTTTATTTTCCGTGTTAAATTCTATTAGACTACAAGCTAGCCTTCCTTTACGGCGAAGTCCATCGCACCGATTAGAAAAAAGCATCTGGACAAAAAGGGGAAAAAATGACGTGAACGCGCCGCTCGGAACTCAGTCGGTGAGGCGCACCTGGTTTTCGTGGGCCTCACTTCCAGCGCGCTCGCTTCGATATTTTTTTTCTGACATCTATTTGGGGTTGGGCGACGGACCTCGCTGAAAAGTGGGGACTGCTGGTAGCCTTAAAACTTGTTTAATATATCCTTAAACAACAGCTTCTAAATTCAACTGTCGCAAATTTTACATGATACTTGTACGTTTTAGACTTATTGTTTTTATTGAGACTTTATGGCATAAAAAAATTGGCTAGATTTAGTTAGTGTTGTACATATTGTAAGTCAAAGTCCGAGCCTGCAGCACTCAGTTAAAAAAAAAAAATACCTCTACACATATGACGTGTCTGTTGCCATTACTATCATATATAATTAAACTCCCCCAAAGTTCCGCAGGCGTCTACTTTTCGCGCGTTTAATTCGAGCGAAGGCTATCACGAGGTAACAAGACGTGCATGAGGGCCCATCTTCAAGAACGCATTTCCCACGCGCGCGCCTCGCACTTGCCTTGCGCTTGCGTGAAAAGCGCAAACAACGTAATGCCTCTTCGGCTGGATTAGTCTGCTACACAGCCGTTCTTAGGGTCGTCACGCAACGCTCCTTCCCTCTTCCTTCCAAGTTCGATCTTCGTCTTTTCGACAATTGCGCGAACTCGTTTTCCGATCAGAGGTTGGCTATCGGATGTAATACAAACAAACCTAAAACCTGTAGTTCCGGATTCAACGTAAATCACTGTAATCTAATAATACCGATGATGGCGTGCCTCTGCAAACTCGTTCCCAGGCCATCCTGAAAAGCACATCCAGCAATCCTCGCGGTTAATTCGTATCTCCAGATTTTAATTGCTTTGCAATGCAGTGCGAGGATGCTTTCTGGAGTTGGAGATGCATACCGTACGGCAGAGGAAGGGATGGAGATCTTTCTCTTGAAATTTGCCACACTTTTCAGTTATGGCGTTTATCTCATACCAAAACGGAGCCTCTTTAGTTTACTGGTCATATTAATTTCTGACAACGCATTCTCTCGTTCTCAGTCTTTAACGCCGTCTCAAGTTTCCTTATTCCAAAACAGTTGCGAAAATTGTTTCTTCGCACATGCTTTAGCATCCTTGTGCGCAATTTTCCGTATAAAATCGGACTTTTTTCTTGAATATACTTTTTTTCTTGAAAACCACACAATTGAATATCAATGTACACATTTGCTGACTTCTAGTAGACAAAGTACAAGGCTGATGGGAAATCGTTTTACTGATCAGAACCATTCATTTCTCTCCAATGAAACCTAATTCCGTTTCTCGAACGCTGTTTTACACCCTATGTACTGGGGTAGAAGTTTCCCTTATGTATGGGAACTTTCGAGTGGTAAATTTCCTGGATTACCATTGACTTGTAGACTAATAGTAGTCGCTCCTTTTTGGCGAAGTCTGTTGCTCAAGTGAAAAAAGTCAGTGACAGAAAAATTTGATGTAAGCGCGCCGCGCAGAACTCTGGGAGTGAGGCCTGCTTTCCATGCGCCCTGACGTCTCCACATCTCCGCGCAGCGCCCTAACGTGAATGTTTTCTTCACTGATTTTTTGTCTTGCGCAACAGACCTCGCCGACAAGGAGAAACGGCTCGTAGTCTGACTCACTTGAAACCCACTCTTCTAAACGTTAACTCTCAACAAAAACTTTTGGGAATGTGGCTTTCCTTGCCAGATTGTTCATGTGGTAGATCTTTGCCGCTCTTTTCGTTCAGTTCCAGTTTATTTATCTCCAGCTTCTCTTTGCTTATTTTCTTCTTTAAGTTTCGTAACGTAACTGAGTCAGGGTCCCGACTGGATTCTGTAGATTTAGTTCTCCAAGTCGCAGGCACGTGTGACATCTCGTCAATCACGTTCAAAATCGAGCAAATGACTGTAGAAGTCACTGACAATCCCAAGATCATAAATGTCATCATCACGAACGTAGCGAACAAACGCTTGCCGTTTTCACCCAGACCAAGCTCGTCCAGTTTCGACGACTTCTCTACTCGTGGAAAAAGATCGCCAAACCCAATTGTACTGTACGCGATGAAATTGAAATAAACCCCATCAAAAAAAGTCCAGCCGTCAAAGATCATGTCAGAAGCTCCTCCCACCAGGAGGACTGCTACCATCATTAAGAAGGAGACCACCGCAGCTTTGATCCCTACATGGGAGGGGCGCCTCTTTCTGTGGTATTTTTTCTCGACTTGCTTAATAGTGTTGTAGATGTATCGATTGATTCGTTCACCGACTGTCTTGAGCACGACCAAATTTAGAGGAATTCCAAGCAGGGCACAGAATATGCAAAACAACCGGCCTCCAAATGTGAGAGGAACAATCTGTCCAAAACCTGTTAACATGAATAAAGATGTGTAAAGAAGAAGAAAAACTGGTCGGTTCACCAGAAATCGTTTAAGTTGACTGCGCTAAATGGAAGTGCTATAGCCATAGTGACTTGTTCTTGGTCCTTGGTTCTAAATGGAGGCACTACAACTGTTGGTTGTGTCGCCCTAGCTTATTACGTAACCATTAGGGCTACACAGTAGCTCTTTCTTTGCTGATTGTAATTTTCGCGTGAATATTCAACTGCTCCATTCATTTGGTTCAAAAATTTCACCCTGATATTTCAATGACTTTTAAATCCGATACTGAAACCGATTTTCTCATTGTGTAATCAAATATGCTATAAAATGATCCAAACTATTCATCACACACTTTACTACAAAATCAGTTATATTGACAAGGGCGTAGCCAGGGGGGTCCTGGGGTGCCCGTGAAACCCCCCTCCCCCTTGGTAGGCCTTCCTTTGAGCAAACAACCTACAATATTCAGGTGGTGAAAACGCCTTGACAATATCTTGGCCTGCCCACTATACTCTCACTGCTCATCCCAAAACTCTAACATTAAGTCAAACATGCACGGCGTGGGGGTCGACATGACAATCTGGTGAGTAGCCTCTGTG